CGTTGTGATTTATTGTAAAACAACCATTGATCCAATCAAGTTCAAAGTTAGCATATATGATGATATGGATATGTTCTTTTGTTTTCCTCGTCAGTTTTCTCAATTTTTGTTTTGTTGCTGAGATATAAGCAAATTTATGTGTTTTTCTTGATTATACCATACAAACTATGAATGGTTATATCTCAGAAAGTATTGAAGTTAACATGATCATACTTTGTATATCTCTTAATTTGAGTAAGCACTACATTGTGGTATAATTTGGGGAAATTTGAAGGGGAGTTTGCTATTTTTATAAGTATCATTCTAATTAGTAGAGTTTCAAGAGATAAAGAACTCTTTATTTCGGAGTCCTTCACATGATTCCAGTATTATGTTGTTTTCCATCTGTAGTATTCAAGGTTATGCTTAGTCACCTTTTGTAACTTTATCGTGACTTCACCGAGGTGCACTTCTACGCCTCTTTTGCCTATTTTTAGTCGGTATACGATCGAATGAAAATAGTTCCATCATGGTAATTCCCTGGTTGGAAAATAGACCTACATAAGTTCATTAAAGTACATCACAATAAACTTCCTATTCATTTCACACTATCCTACCTGCCATTAACCAACTTGACATTGCAAAACACAAGCAATTCGAAGAGAGATGTGTAGACTCGGAACCGTCACTTTTGACCATACTTCTATTAAGTTTTCTTTAGCATATTGGATAATAACATTGTTCTGGGAAATGTCGATCACTTAAAGTTTCACTCTCCATATCAACAGAATTTCCATTATCCACAAACATCATCTTGTAATATAAGTGTTATATTTTCAATGGATCCCCTTCACTCAAATTCAAAGGAAACTCAAATATGCTAACAGCGTTATGGAGAAGAACCAGGCGTGTCATGTCTGCTTGTGTAGACAAAGGATTAGGCAGAAGATTTCCTCCAATGATAAATGTCTTCAAGTTACTATTAACAACAGCGTACCCAATGTTGCCAAAGTATGAAAGATTTGCAGCATTCTTAGGAAGCCTGTAAGAATGATATACATCGTAAAGCCTCCACTTTCTCGATGGAATATGAAGAGAATAGATTTCGTAGGTATGTGGCTGACACAGTTTTCCAAAAAGCGTTTCTTTTGAATGGAAACATGCATTTGATATGTCACGTATTTCAAAATCATTGTTAGCCTTGGGCAAGTTTGGGAAATCAATGGGACTAGCTCCTAGGAGTGCGACAAAATAATTGTCAATAATAATGCCACGGTGCCCCACTTTCTTCAGCTGGACTTCTTCACCAGGTTCATCACCATGAGAAAAAGTTGGAACTCTTTCCCAAAGCTCTTGGTCAACATCAAAGTACCAAACATCACCGAAAATTTCCTTTCCATCTGTACCACCGTGAACTATCAGCTTTAAATTAAGCTGCCTTTCGGAAACAGCACTTGAGGGAGTGGAAGATCTTGCCATGCTCAGTTTAGAAGCGTCCGTTGTACTCTTAGTATCATGAGGGTTAGAACCAAAGACGCTCTCAACCTGGAATACCTCACATGAATGGAAAGCTCTTCCTGAAGGAATCGGGAATTCTTCCGGGACAGGAATTGGTGTTGCCAAAACAACATCACCAAATTCTATATAACCATGAGTGCCTTGATATACAATCGACAATTCGACTTTCCATAGGTCCTTTATAGCTTCAAACTTTTCCAAACCAGACACTTGTCGATAACCACCCATAATCAAGATTGTAGCAGGTGTATCATTTTTGAGATCGTAATTAGAAATCCTTGAAGAAGCTATTGAGGTTGATGAATGACCGAACCTTGGAACCGTAAGGGGGAATCTGTTGAGCTTATTTGGTTGTGCAATTAGTTCAAATTTCTTGAACCTCATAGTCACGGTATCAAGTACATAGGCACTATTATTCAATCTCGTGCTTTTGCTAATCATAAACTTCCCACTGTCTTCACTATAAGTCACCTCGTTGAGTAATTCGAACCCTCCATAATAGAAAATGTGACGTTTCGTTATCTTACTGGAGCTCATACAAAGTAACGGAGGAGGAATATCACCAGTTACGTTGGCCCTAGCAACCTGATTCGTTAGAGATGACGTTACAAAGACATCTGTATTTGGAAGCACTGCAGGGTGGTTCAAAAGGACAGAGTTTATGGGAAGAGGCATATTTACCCCACGTACTTTATACTTTGAAACGTCCAATATTCCCGTTTGGAAACCTTGATGATGTGCAATAACACCCCCGACTGTAACGATGCTATCATTAGCCTCACATGAAGTGTGGTACACGAGCGCAGGAAGTGGGGATTCTCCAAAGGTGACAGGGGTGTGAAGGTAACTGATGAAAGCCTTCTCCTTAGAAGGACCAAAGCGTTTGAACCCATTGTCATCCATTGAATTGGGTTCAGCACACAACGCCATCCGTTCTGTGCGAGCTGCTGGCTTCCACATCCTGTGAGATTTCGAATATTTCTGCTGTAACTCTTCGTCCAAGGGTTCAGTCCTCGTCTTTGTTGTGCACTGTGGTGCTGGACAAGCCGAATGATGTTGTCCACCCAAATGACTCATGTAGTACCCATTTAAGAATTCCTCCAACGACGAGTGTCCCCGGTAATCTTCACCATGACTAGTGTAGTCCACACAAAATTGTAGACCGTTCATGTTAGCCATGAGGATCTGAGTTCCTGGGGCTAGATTGTACCTCTCTTAGATTGAGGCTGGCACACGGCGGGAAGTTTTGAGTGGAACAATCAATTATTATCAACGTCGATCTGCTCAGCCAGCACACCTGGACACCACCTGGAGAGAAGCGCTTTTTTGCAAACGTCTCCTGGGTGATGAAGAAAGGTTACTTGGAACTACGGGTGTACTGTAAAAATCAATGAAATGTTAATAAATAGCCGGTGTATGATATGTAGTGAATAAATAAATATGTGGTATTTCTCCCTTTCTTGGTATTTGATTTTTTCCTTCAAGAATTACACACAATAAAAATAAATAAAGACTCCAGAAAAGGAAAAGCCAAAGGAACAGGGGCTCACTTTCTGTACCAAAGTCTGGTAATCTTTGTGGTGACCATCTTCTTTTGGAGTCTGAAGACTCCGTACATCAAAGCTTCGGCAGTTGGGGGACAACCAGGGACATAGACGTCCACAGGAACGATTCTATCACAGCCTCTCACAACCGAATAAGAGTAATGGTAATAACCACCACCGTTGGCACAGGAGCCCATAGAGATGACCCACTTTGGGTCAGCCATCTGGTCATAGACCTTTCTTAATGCTGGTGCCATCTTGTTGGTTAAGGTTCCAGCAACAATCATGATATCAGATTGTCTAGGAGTGGCTCTGAAAATGATACCAAGACGATCTTGATCGTAACGTGGTGTAGAAACGTGCATCATTTCGACGGCACAGCACGCAAGACCGAAGGTAACAGGCCAAAAGGATGACTTTCTAGCCCAGTTCGTAACCGCGTCAAGGGAGGTCAAAACATAATCAACTTTGTTGGATGGGGTGTTATCCTGAGATGCCAACGGGTAATCTGTGGCAAGCGCCTTTGGAGTGACATCAGCACGCGTGGCAAGCGCTCTCACAAAGCTTGAAGATGGTCTGGCACGTGTAACAAAGGCAAGGTTTCTGGACATCATCGTTGAAGTGTAAAGACTAATTCAGTTTATGGCTCAAGTGTAAGGACTCCCCCTGAATTTTTTTCCCTCCTTGACCTCTGGAAGTTTTGGTGATTTTCCTGGTTGCGGGCAACAACATAATAACGGCGAGACGCTATCAACTGTGCTCAGTACTTACGGGTTAAGTACTCAAACAGAAGAGAAAAAGAATTCAAATTAATGGAAGTATTCGATAAATAGTTACAGACACCTATTTGAGTAATCAAGTTGTAGAGCTATATGTGCATGTGACCTTAATAACGATATCTGTTGTTACATTGTCCAATTATTAGAATCTTGATTAACATTGACACTGTGTTTCGCCTTGAGGTTTGCTATCAACTGCTATATCAATCACTATAGACTTGTTAGTATAGGGACATTCTTATAATCATGGCATAAGGAGAAATGACTTACTCTCTGGATTCTCGCTCTTTGGCTCTTCGAAATCAGGGAGACTCTTTGCGATCTTTTTGAATAAGCTTTTCACGTTATATCCCAGTTTGGTACTTGTTTCTATGAAGATCTGACACCCGAGTTCTTTTGCCCTTTTCTCTCCTTCTTCAACGGAGACTTGTCTACTATCAACGAGATCACTCTTGTTAGCCACGAGACACAGTATAACATCTTCTCCTCTTTCCGCTTTGACATCCTCTATCCATTTATTTGTCAGGTCAAACGATTTCTTGGATGTGATGTCGTATACGATAACTGCAACATGAGAATCTCTAATGTAAGAAGGGATTAAGGATCTAAATCTCTCCTGTCCTGCAGTATCCCATAGTTGAAGTCTTACTGTCTTGTCATCGAGATACATAGTCTTGGAAAGGAAGTCGATACCAATTGTGGCCTTTAAAACGTCAAGTTAGTAATTCACACGAAGATAACACTCATTTATACATACAGCATAGTTGTCGTCAAAAGTGTCATACATAAATCTGGTGATCAAGGACGTTTTACCAACTTTTTGACAGCGTGGTTAGTGAAAAGAACTTTCGGTTGAACCATCCATTCGGCGAAGGAAAGCAAACGGATCAAAACATACCACCTTGTTCTCCGAGGAATACGATCTTATATTTGCTTAGTGAATTAGATTTGCTCATTCTTGTGATATATCTTTATGAGATTGTAGGAACCCCCCTCCTTTTCTTTCTTCTTTGAGATTATTGGAGCCTCTGTTACTTATTGTTGTTGTTGTTCTTGATGCTTGTTCTTCCAACGACGTCCCAAGATCTCACCACGATTTTGCGCGCCCTTTTCCGCCTTGTGTTTTTTTTTCTCTTCTTCCTTGCCTGAGCTTCGAGGAAATCACTGTAGAACAGCTCTAGTAACGGTGCATGGAAGCTATGGTGATATTCTATATGACTGAAACATATGTATCCATTTATAAGCAATTCAGACATGTAAATCTAGCCATATTAGGACATCTTCTATGTAGGCCTTGATGTACCGTGTTCTATCTTGATCAATGACAGGTTGTGCTGAGATGCCTTCCACGCCAACGTTAAAGTGAATGCATAAGACTCTTATAGATATACAACTCATGAGAACTTCAGTGTTAACGACAACTATCCTAATATTACCGGGAGGGAGCTTTACTCAATGCGAATTGATCATATCTGTCACTGATTTGTGAAAATGATATTCCAAGATGGGGAGAGATAACAATATCAGATCCATCGCTACAGAATACACATTGGTACTGACTTTTCTGCCGATCGCTTAAAGTGTCACATAATAGTTGAGCAATCATTTTGAAAACTCTAATACATAGCAGATCATCAATGTGCAACCATAAGTCCTGATTAAGCACATCAGAACCAACTTGGTAGGGCGATCAAGTTAATTGAACACACATGACCAGTAATGCTGCTTTCAGAGCAAGCATAATGTACCCAACCTGAACGATACTTTGGAGGAGATCGTGAGATTATCTGAACAGCAGAATCCATAACCTGCAATTGTTTTATGTATGGAATCCTACTACTCTACTTTATGTAAAACAGTGGATATCTCATTATATACTTGCGTCAATTCAAGCAGTGATGACGTCGCAAATATTGTAGATTGAGATAACCCACTTGGTGTTGACGAGACAAAATAAGCGTTCAATTGCGTGTTAAAGTTGTCTAAAAGATTTGAAACGACCAGACATTAGAGGCATACATAGGTAATCTCGAAAGCAACAGGGCTTCTTGTAGCATGTCAGGAACTAGGGTTATCATCGACATCTGCAGTGCCTACTTCTCATTGAATGACATATGGTATAAAGGGATGATTTAAAGCAACAACAAGTGAGCCGTGTAATCTAATCTATCATATTTCAGAACACGCCAATGCATAGTGGAAGATGTCCAGCATTAGGATGGAGCATGGCCGATACTCAAAGTGCGATATCACACTCACCAGACAAGACCACGACACTAATTTGTAGAGGCGGTAGACTCTTAGTTATAATTTTACCGTCTTGTAGATCTATAGGACATATGAATTCTCAAGAACCCGTGGATACATAGATCCCACTTGCGATACTATCCTAGCATTAGAGTTCTTTGAGTGAACAATCAATAGACCCTCAATATGAGTGGAAATGTTTATCATCGGGCTACAGTTAAAATCACCTATACTGACTTCTCGCTTGGTTTATCCTCAAGTACTGACCGTCAACTCCAAAGCAGATTTCCATCGACAACTTTGCAATTATAATGCGTTCATCGTGCTACTTTATCTTCTTCACCGAGGCATACAAAAGACCACTACACAGATGTTGCACAAACCAACCAATCCCGAGTAAAAGAGAGGCACGGGGACATTTTTACGTTTTCGCAATCCTTCGCGGAAGACGGAAAAAAAAACAGACGCAGCTCTATAAAACACAGTGGTGAGCGATATGTCGGCCCAATCAAAAAGAGTAGGATTTTCGAAATGGTATTGCCAGTAAAAAGCTTGCCACACTTTAATTCACGAAGCTTCACGGTACACCATATATACTGGTGTCTAATATGATGGAACATTCACCACTACTTCCAATCTCTTGTAATGTTGACACTTTTGCTTTATCATCCAGCAGGTCCTTTTAAGCGGTTAATTGATACTGTTCTGAGTATTTCCTCTTTCGGGATGCAATTTTGCGCAATTGTTTGGAAAAGAGAGGAATTTGACGTAAATTTCACTAATCGGAAGAGAAGGCAACGGTCGAGAAAAGAAAACAAAACAGCTCCGTTTTGTATGGTGGATGCAGCATGCACTTCCCAATTAGGATTCACCAACCACAGATTAACCCAAAACGGACCAAAATTTCGGCAGGTGTGGGAGTGGACAAGACAGAAGAAGCAGGACAAAAAAAGAAAACACCACACTGGCAGCCGGTTGAGGGATAATCAAAACAGCGAAGGGGAAAGAGAGGGAAAAAAACGTTTTCGAAGAATTCTTCTTTTCATCAATTCACATAAACAATTAGACAGTCCCCAGGTATTTGCCCTTGATAGAAAGTAGGTAGGTAGTTGAATATTGCAGAATGAAGTTCACCACTGTTTTGTCTGCTGGTTTGTTAGGTTTGGGTGTTCTTGCACAAGAAGAAACCACCGAAGTGTCAACTGCTACTACTAGCACTAGTACCCACAAGTACGGTAAATTCAACAAGACATCAAGATCTGAGGAGCCAAACCACACAGGCACCCATTCTTATGGTAGATTCAACAAGACATCAAGATCTAAGGAGCCAAACCACACAAGCACCCACTCTTACGGTAGATTCAACAAGACATCAAGATCTAACGAGCCAAACCACACAAGCACCCACTCTTACGGTAGATTCAACAAGACATCAAGATCTACCGAGCCAAACCACACAGGCACCCACTCTTATGGTAGATTCAACAAGACCAGAAAAGATGCTAGTCAAAACGATGCCAATGTTTACGGTGTTGGAATTGGTTCAGTGCTGATTGCTGGTCTCTCTTTGCTTCTCTAAAGCTTCGATACCATGTCGTCTTAATTCATAATGTCGTTTATTTTCATTTTTTCTAGCTTTATTTTACCAGAGGTTTGAGGTCATTCTTCTTGCCGCCAACAACGTATTAGTTGAGGATTGTCACTCATTGCTCTAGACTAGTGAATGGTTACTCCTATCTTTTTTATCACCATATTTTGTTATTAATTACATATATGTAGTCTTTTAGCGTATTACATTGCAACAAGACACCTACCGTTTGAATAAATCGTCGTCATCTAGGTCTTTCTGTGACAAAGCATTTCCTCCATTGTCCAACGAGTGCTCAAAATTGGAATGCTGTAGTCTCTGGGATATAGGATTTTTCATTCTTTCAGATAATGGGTTCACGCTGTCATCTTTGTCAATATCATTCGCTTTACTAGCCTTTTCAGGAAAGAGGTCCTCGTCGTCGTCTTCTTCATCCGATAGCATACGAGCTCTTCTACCAAGTGGCTCACGATCACGATATCTTTTCTCAAGGTTTCTCTTCATCTTGTACTTTTTCTCTTCATCTGGGTTTAACAAGTAATATCTCGAGTATTGAGAAGCATGTTTGATCTTTTTATCACCAATTTTGGACACTCGTGTCCAGAACTCAACATCTTTTTGCATTGGATCAAACTGATGGGCAAGTCTCTCATTACTGTTGTCCAATTCTGGGCTGGTATCTTGAGACAAGGACTTTAGTGCATTAGATGCTTGTTCGTTCTCTTCAAAGACAATATTCACTTGATAATCTGTTAGAAAGCAATTCAGGAAAGTAACAAAATAAAGAGGAAAACATTGAAATACAAACAAACTTCAAGTTAAACACATACATGAAGAGTCATTGATCCATTCAAATTTGAAATGATCACTGACGTAGCGCTTGACATAGGATTTGATATCCTTTTCAGAGAGGTTATCAACACCTCTTAAAAACAGAGAGTTTGGTCTCAAAAGTTCAGATTCCTGTGCATGGTTAGCAAATATTCAGTGCATTGTCAAGTTCCATTCACTCACATCCAATTCCATACGCTCTTCTTCCATTTTGACGAGATAAAGAAGTGGTACTCAAATCGTAGCTTGTCTTTCGTAACACTTCACCAGTGTGTTAGGTTTTCGAAACAACTGGACCCAAAAAAAAGAGGCAAACCGTATACGTCATTTTTAGGCTGAACAGATAAATTACTCTGGAACTAAGAGTAAAGGTTTTAAAGAACACAGCTTTTTTCTTTTATTTGAATAGATACTTAAGAGGAGAAGAGATATTGTTGACATATGTACAAGGAATAAAATAAATAAAATAGAAAACATTGGATGGCCCTCATTTACCAAAATAGCGACCATTATCTATTCCAGAGTTGTGCTCTGCCATTCCCCATAGTCTATCCATGTTGATACCACCAATGTCTTCATTTACATAGAAAAATCCGTTTTTGGTCTTCCAGTTAACCCACCCGAATCTCCCATCGGTCAATTGAAGCTCTGCTGGCTTCAAGATTGTGTTGTAGAATGACCTTCCGGTAAGGGATATCTTCTCAGCCACTAGGATTTCGTCTGTCGTGAGATTCTCAAGGGATTGGTCCTTCTCCGTGTTGTATACCCTAAAGATCCTTGATACATAATCCCTCGTGAAATATTCAATCAAAGGTAGCGGTAGCACGGAGCACGTTGCTAAGACATAACTCAAATCTGAGCTCAAGGCCGGCGACGTATACATCATATTGGACAGGTACAGCCCAACAAGTCCAAATGCAAGACTTACCCTTTTCAATGTGGCAATAGGCTTGCTCAAGGGAGATTCATAGAGTGGAGTATACGCCATTCTGTATTTTGAAGGTAGGAAGGTTGCACCCAGCGCTAAAGGACTCGATAGCTTGATACCAAGGCTCTGGGCTTGGAGTTGACGAACACTGGTGTGAAACATCTTAATCCCCAAAAACGACATTGGCAAGTTCCTCATCGACAACGTGCTTGATCAAAACACAACAATACCTTTAAAATGATGGATTTAAACGGTTAGAATTTCATTGACAAAAACGACCGCAGCGCTCCCTACCAAAAAACACACACACAGTCAAACAGCAAAGTTCGTGTGTGGGGGGGGCTCTACAACAACCAATTAACGGCACAAGTTCTACATCTTTTAACAGCAACAACTAATATACTTCACTCCGAATACACAGATTGTCTCCATACCACCATGTGTAATGTTCAAGGAGGAACTCGCGTAAGAACTGGGTATAACTACCAGCATGACGAGAGAACACCCGAACATCGGCTGTGGCCTGTGAGATGTGCCCTCACACAAACCTGGTTGTCGTGGTTCCCGGTGATGTTTACAAACCACTGCGGAATATTCCCCAATTCGGACGGACAAAAAAAAATTGTGAGATTCGAAGTGAAAGAAAGAGCGGCACCGTCCACACCACAGATGTATATATATATTTTTTTCTCTTTCTTTCTCTTTTCTTTCTCTCGCTCACTACTATTCCGTAATAGCGTTTGACCAACAACAAGCATACGTTTCAACGATGGACTCAGATTCCACCAATAAGTACATTCCGGATCATCGTCGTACCAATTTCAAGAACAAGGGTAGATTCAACCCTGATGAGCTTCGTCGTCGTCGTGAAAACCAAAGTGTTGAATTGAGAAAGGCCAAAAGAGATGAAACTTTGGCAAAGAGAAGAAATTTCAACATCACCACTGAAGACTCTGATGACGAGGATTCTGGAAAGATCGATGACGATTCATCATTCCTCACACATCTACAACAAGAGCTTCCAAGAATGATGGAGCAGATCCAATCTAGCAACTTTGATTTGCAATTGGCAGCCACGGTCAAGTTCAGACAAATCTTATCAAGAGAACGTAATCCACCAATCGATTTGGTGATTCAATCTGGTGTAGTGCCAATCTTGGTTGGATTCATGACAGACCAACCAGAGATGTTGCAATTAGAGGCTGCCTGGGCCTTGACGAACATTGCATCTGGTACATCTGAACAGACCAAGTTTGTCGTTGAAGCTGGTGCAGTGCCATCCTTTGTCCAGTTGTTGTACTCTCCATCTGCAGAGGTTAAAGAACAAGCTATTTGGGCTTTGGGTAACGTTGCTGGTGACTCTTCTCAATACAGAGATTTTGTCTTGTCTTGTAACGCCATGCCACCTGTTCTTTCGCTCTTCAACACTTCAAAGATGTCCTTAATTAGAACAGCAACATGGACACTTTCCAATCTGTGCAGAGGTAAGAACCCACAACCTGATTGGGACATTGTTTCGCAAGCTCTTCCAACTTTGGCCAAGTTAATCTACTCCATGGATGTCGAAACTTTGATCGATGCTTGTTGGGCGATTTCTTATCTCTCCGATGGTCCTTCTGAGTCCATCCAAGCTGTTGTTGATGCTAGAATTCCAAAGAGATTGGTTGAGATTCTTGGACACGACAGTACTGCTGTACAAACACCTGCTCTTAGAGCCGTTGGTAACATTGTAACTGGTAATGATTTACAGACACAGGTTGTTATCAATGCTGGTGTCTTGCCAGCGCTCCTTCCATTACTGTCCTCTCAAAAGGAGTCTATCAGAAAAGAGGCAGCATGGACCATTTCCAACATTACCGCTGGTAACCCAGAACAGATCCAAGCAGTCATTAACGCCAACTTGATCCCACCATTGATCAGATTGCTTGAAAAAGGTGACTACAAGACTAAGAAGGAGGCATGCTGGGCCATCTCTAATGCTTCATCTGGTGGATTGACCAGACCGGAGATCATCCGCTTCTTGGTATCTCAAGGCTGTATCAAACCACTCTGTGATCTCTTGGCTGTTGCCGATAACAAGATCATCGAGGTTACTTTGGATGCATTGGAGAACATCTTGAAGATGGGTGAACTTGAAAAGGAAACCAACGGACTGACAGAGAATGCCAACGCTATGTATATCGAGGAATGTGGTGGCATGGAGAAGATCTTCGACTGTCAAAGCAACCAGAACGCTCAGATCTACGAAAAGGCGTATAACATTGTGGATAAGTACTTTTCCGCGGAAGATGACGTTGAAGACACGGGATTAGCACCAGATCAAAGCGGTAACACCTTTGCTTTCGGAACCAACCAAACCCAATTCTCATTTTAATACCCACTCAGTTTCTGTTAACACAGATCATCTCCTCCATTTATTTTTTCCACAGTGGAATATCTCTTTCTATCTCTTTTTCTCTCTCTTTCTTTAATCTAATGATCTTGATTTACTTCTGTGTTCTTCCCTCTGTTATTACTATTTCATGCCTATTTCTCTCTCTCCCTCTCTCCCTCCATTTTAACGACCATTGCATTTTCAATAAGTAAAACCATTAGGACATGGTGCTTGTCGGTTCTATGTCTTTAACACAGAATGATAGTTCTGAAAACACCGTTGTAGTTGTAAGAGTTTGACCTGGTCAAAGTCAGCATGCTAGGCCAAAAAGGACAGTTTTAAAACAAAAAAAAACACAACAACAGTAAAGGTGCGCATCGCTGTGACTGGTTAAAGAGCGGGTGAAGTATGTCTAAATCTACTGAGCAGACTGATTTTGTACCCAATATCTTCAGAGAACAACAGTACGATCTAATAAAGAAAATCCATCAACGGCTTCATAAAGATCAGGCCAAAGCAGAGGAGGTGAGTGACACGAGGGTTAAGTATGAGGAGGAAGATACACCACCACAACGGCTAACCAGGGCTGATGTGAGGAAGATCCTAGGCGACCCCTTACCATTGCCTTATAAAATATACAAGAGAAATACCATAGATGAGGTGGCACCGTCACAGCGTGGGCCGCCTTCACCTACCGGGGTTCTCTTTCAAAAAGGTAAACAACCATTATCAACAGAGGCCCATAATCGCTTACAGGATTCGATCAGGAAGTTGCAAAAACTTGATGCACACAATGCGAAGGAAGAATCAACGACACCTTTCCAGACCATTCCAGTCACATCTTTGTCAAAAGCGCTCGAACTACCGATACCCATGGCCAGAGATAAGTTCAAGACTCCAAGTCCCCCTTCAATCTCTACGAGGATAAGGAATTCGAACGCACAGAGACGATTACTCCAAAGATTCCATGCAGAGATGGAGCCAAAGGTGATGAAGATACCGAATAAAGGGCTCCTGAGTGAGTCAGCAAATGTAGGCAGAGGTAGATCCATCATCACACTTGCTGTGTTTTTCACACTGTTATTCTGCCTACACTACGCACTGACACAGCGCTAATGACTCTCTTCGTATAAGGACAATTAATTGTATTACTACTGTTACCATCATTATTAATATTGCTATTATAACAAGTAGTGTATATGTACAGAAGGGGAAGAAGGAAAAGAAGAAACATGCGCTTCAGTCATCATAGTCGTTAGTTGGTGGCTTTTCGTGTTCACTTCTCATATAAAGATCAACTTGGTTGAAAGCAGTTAGTAAATCAGGAAATTGAGATAAGTACAGAGGAAAGGAATTATACTCACTTGCAGTACTGAAAGCTGCAAAACCAGCACATCCAATAGCTGCTGCTTGTGGACCTGACTTGAAAGCAAGACCACCGCCTGTTATACAACCAGCAGCAACACCGTTGTAGATGTCATTCTTAGCACGTAACTATATTGGCTGTTAGTTGGAGATCGAGTAGTCACAACAAAAAGCCACACTCACCGATTCAACACCACATTCAACACCTGAGTATATCATACCTATATAACCAAAGTTCTTTGCACTCGACCACGATCTTTTACCCATATCGGTGAATTGTAATTTCATTTGTTGTTTGAACGGAAGGTCAGAGATATGGCCCGCAGCGTTGTTACCAATAGGAACATCATAGGCCATCTATGTTTCACTTTGAAGTTAGTTCCATATCGCAGAGCCAATAGATATCGCACCGTGTATACTTACACTGGCCATGAACAAACCGAAAACACCACCAAGGGCAAAACCAGTAACAGCAGAGATGGCAGACTTACCAGGGCAGGACATCATGAATTCAACCATTTGTCTTGCTCCTTCTTCCGCCTGCTCCTCCGGACTCATCTCATTTATGCTCTTCTTAGGAGCAGTACTGGCAGTCTCAAGGCCAAATCCTCTATAAGACATCGTGGCTGTTGATTATAATGCCCTCTCGATGAAGTTACATGCCTACAAAACGCCATTTTTTTTTTTCCTTCTCTACTTTTGATTTTCGCTCTTCGAGTAATCTTCATCAACCACAACGTCTACATTAGATACACAACACATACGTAATGCAATTTGTTTAATTCTATACAGCAACTGGTCTTGAACGACCTTCTCTTTCCAGAGGCGGAACGTCTATATCTGGTGCTTCTGCCACTGGAACGCTGCCCATGAGACCCTTAGACTCTGCGAAGGAAGATGAACGTGTAAATAGCGGGTCCGCTTGGTAGTATTCGTCCCTTATTGGGTGAAGCAACACGGTTTGCTTTTTAATCGTCAAGACTGTATTGGTTGGTACTGCGATCCAGTCTCCTCTTTCGAATGTTAAAGGCTCGGAGGCAACCATGATGACGTTTTGACTGCGGTCTATTCTCTCCATCCGAAACTGGTTTGGTTCATATTCCACAAAGCTACTTCCACAGCTAAAGTGTAAGGATGCAGCTTCTTCAGTCTTTGATGTGATATATCTCGATACGACAACACTATCGCCGTCTGTGACGGCAAAGTTCAAAAGTGAAGGTTCTGCGGTGTCCTTTGTCCATTCCCTTATCAAGTCTATTGTCTTCAACAGGGCCTCTCTGAGAACGTCTGCTTTGAAATTGCTCTGCGTGGTATCGTATCCCATCTTATCCAAGGTGTCCAAGAATAATGCAAAGCAGCATTCACTATCAGTGGATCCTTGTAACAATAGGAAATATTCATCTTTGATGTGGTTTATGAGCGTTCTCTTCACGAGGTTGAAGTTTGAGATGCCGCCATTGTGCATAAACATCAACGAATGGAACGTAAATGGGTGACAGTTTGTCTCGGATAGGACCCCGTACGTCGATGCCCTGACATGGGCAAATACCAGGTTCGATTTGGTCTTTTCTGCCAATGTTTCCAAATTCATGTTGTTCCATGCTGGTGTTATGGCTTTGAATATACAAGGACCACCACACTCAAGTTCGGGGTCAAGGGAGTAGTAGCCGACACCGAACCCATCACCGTTGATCGGCCTTCTTTTATCTAATCGTAGCCTACTGTCGAAAGATTGACTGATGCGTGTTAGCACTGGTAGTTGCCAGAAAGAGCGACCAAGACGAAAAGGAAACTTACTTGATGATGGAATGGGCCGGTCTTGTGAGTAAGGATGACAAAAGTATAGGTTCCTTGCCTTTGAAAATGAGAAATCTGCACATCTTTCTTTGTTCCTTGTACTGACGATGATACCTGTAGGTGGAAGCTCAGTAATAGGAGACTGCGAGAGAAGAGACAAAGGTGTTCACCCTAACCTCTTCCATTCATGGGATGATGATGGATTCCGTTTCGACTTGTGACTTATGCCCCCATAGTACGACAGGGCACGTGACCAGCGTGCTGGTGTAGGGATGTTTGGCCCCGCTGATGAAAACCCCAGCGACAAACTTGTGCAAGTCTGCACCGAGTAAATTCCACAGCCTGAGCACTGTTTAATGTCGTCTCCAGCTCCTATTTTCTCGGCCGTGACCGGTTAGCGGCTGGGCACTGGACCATGGGGCGATGTTACCCATCGAATCCTCGCTGCAGCCTTGAGGCTGTTGGGCAAATGTTCTGGAAGAGGCTTCTGCAACGTTTGTTGCAACTTTTGGGTCCTCTATTATAAATTCACAAGTAGATAAGTTTAGTAGAACGAGTTTCCAATCATACCAATTATTCACGGAAGGGAGGCATCATTACTGTTAACCCCCCCCCCCCCTTTAAGCATTGCCTAGATTACATGTACACCAACTTGCTCAGAGTTAGCTCATCCCCTGTATGAAGCCAAACATTAAGGAAAACTGGAACCATGCGCATGCTAATGGACCACAGCAACTCACACTACGATGGGAACAATAGCCAGTCCACTTCATTAGCATCAGGCGTATAGTCTGATGCCACCACGGATCAGTGCAACGGAAACAATCCCACTAAGGATTAAAACTGTTGATTTGGATTTGCGCAGCCAGAAGGAGCAAAAATGTAGTTATGCACTGTTATGTACAATGTATCAGCAATGTCGCACCATTGGACAAGAAGGAAAATTAAAAAAGCTTCTAAGCTTGGACAACATGAGGGTTAAAAAAGCTGGGGCTGAAGCAATAACTTCTTTCTTTGCAGTGGAATCTATACAACAACTTTTTTAAAAGAGGAATAGTCCGCTGTGAACAGTACAGCACATAAACGACGTTGGATGTTCTCAAGGTAGTTTGAAAATTACACTTCAGAGGTGGACGTAAACAGGAGGAGATTATATAGGCCCTGTATAACGATGGTGGATAACATTAGCAGGGAGAATGTTCAGAAAGTGGATAAATTGATGAAGAGACCCAGAAGGAAGCACAAGAATTCGAAGCTGGGTAAGTGCTTTTGATTACGATCGTATACATAAAATTACCATCCTTTTTCCCAGGCGACTAACTAACAGTTTACTTCCGTTGAAGGGTGCGTTCAATGCAAAGAGAGACGTATGAAGTGCAACGAGGAGCTTCCAGAGTGTCGGAACTGTCGTATAAGACAGGTCAAAGTGAGTATTGGCAACAGCATGCGATGACAAGACCTAACTAACTGATGAATTAGATCAAATGCAGTTACCTCTCTTTCACAGAGGATGAGAAGAGGAGCTTCCTGGAGCAAAAGGCCAAACAAGACGCCGAATTTGAATATATATCCCCAGGATCTGTGGAATCCCCGGATCAATCAAATAAACCGATCACTGTCCAACTCGTCAAGCATGAGAGACCACAAGCGTTACCCTCACAAATGGCTAGATTCCTGAAGGAAACCACTTTTTCACAACATGGGAGAATCTTTTACCTGAATATTGTAAACCAAATGCTTCTCTCAAAGGAATCATTTAGCTCTGTGTTGAGCCTGTCGGTGTTATGGGTGCACATGCAATTAAAGAAGAAATACGAAGCATTGGGACTGATCACACAAGAGACTGAACAGACACTACAAGCATTGTTAAGGATTGGAACGATGCTGAAATCAGAATGCATAATGCATTTGAGAAAGATCGTCTTGCGCTTGATTAAGGCTCAAGATGCTAATGATTGGAAAGAAGTTATGATCCAGTACAACAAAGTTAATGGTCCCACCTTGTGCCTACAATCATCTGATATTATTACGTATAGTAGCCTTAAACACTATTACATCACAGGGTCTTTACAAATGCTTAAAATGCTCTATGAGAATACCAAGGAGGATTCCCCACAGACACGATTCATAGTAAAGGGCCTCTTGCACATTCATCGTTCACTTTTCGTTCCGAACTATCCACCTGAGGTTTTTGACGAGATTAAATCGGTGTTGAACGATTTCGAAGGATTTATAGAGGAGACCAATGATGAAATGCTACTTTGGAACTATAGAAAGCTGATGGAATTTTTAAACGAGGATCTTGATCCTGAAACTTTGAAAAAACGTGCTACTCCTACAAGTGTTACCTCTTATCCAGCTTCATTGATTTACCTCTTGTTTTGGAAGTTTTATCAGCTGGTACCAAGCGAAGCACATACAATAAATAGCTGTGGTTCCCCTGTTCACAAGATTTTCTACCTATACATATACATGATTGGTCGTGTTCTGGATAACGTGTTTCCAGAGGCTAGATACTTTACACAGTTTAGATTCATCGGAGTGACAACGGTATATCCATATACAATGGATGATTTGAACTTTGGAATGACGCCAGAATTGAGACCATTTCTGAACTATGGTAATCGATTGATGGCATACTTTTTCATTAGAGATGACTTATTTAACAAGTACCTGACTATTGATACTCCATTTCCAGAGAGACTGGCTGAAAACAGGTTCAAATCCCGCAAGCTTAAAGTCCACGAAGAATTTGTCACCAAGTTCAGAGAAACAGTACTAAAGCCTTGGAACTATCCCCAGGTTGGATGTGGAGCTACAACACCAGTTTCTGACTCTTCCAAATCTACTGAGTCGTTTTCAAGCCATTTCAACTCTGCATACGCATTTGACCTTGGATTTGAGAGGGCATTATCACTAGAAGAGGCTGAACCACAGATGGACCGTTTTGAAGTTCCAAGATTGGACCAAGTAGACCCAGCAACTGGGTTCCTACTACAAGATTATGACCCTAAAAAGGACCTTTATGGACCAGGATTGGCAGACACTGTAACAACTATAGAGGAACTGCGAAAGTACCAGGAGGACCGTGAAGTTCTTATGAAGATGTTTATCGAAACATAATATTAATACGCAACATACTCATCAAATGTATACTGTAGAGGGTTAGAGTTCATGAAGAATATCTTCAATGATATTAGGATCTGGTTCCGGAAGAGGATGTTGGTTGAAGCTCTGTAGCTTGTCAAAGCATGATAATAGACCCTGTAGAGAAGCACATGTTTTTAGAAGACAACCATTGTTTTCGAGTTCTTGTGCTATTTCTAACTGATGATTATCCATGAGTTTATCGTTCACCATAACTATAAGCTTCTTCTTCAATCTCAACGTGTCAAGGATGGAACCTGTGCCGGCGTGTGAAACAACCACATCACATTGTGAAATGATGCTTGAGATGTCATCTGAAAAGGGGAAACCCTCCACAGAGAAAGAGTCATTATCCAGTGATAGCTTTGATAAACACTGCTCAAACAATTCAGCACCAGAAACACCGTATTGTACAACTAGCTTTATATAGCCAAGTGACTTGAGTGTATTGATAAACTTCTCATCCAGTGTTGATCTTATCAATTCCTCAAATACAATGGTTGCACCAGTGGTTACAAAGACTGTAGACATTGCTGTTTATCGTAGATGTCCCCTGGTTGATGGTGCGCTTGTATGTGATGGAATTGAAAAGTTCAAATAAACGAGCGGCTCAAAACAAAAACAAAAACAAAAACAATCAACATTAGCGCTTTATTTGGGCGGATCCTATTTTGATTGGCTTGTGAATGAAATTGGCGCTTCCAATGGTTATCAGTAGCTGATACATGTCAAGTGGAATCATGTTGTTAATTTGCTTGTATTGTCTCCCAACCTTTAAAGGGTTCCCTTTTGTTTAATACCCCAGATCGCTATATGCTGAAATACGGTTACATTCTATGTGTTAGATTCTTTTGAGATGTTGTGTATTTAAGAGCATTAGCTATAGTGTAAGACTTCATATTATGCATGGTATGAACAAGCATATGGACAAGTGAATGAGGTTTATTATCATCAGCTTATGTACAACGATATGGGGGCTAGCGGTGCCAGATTCAGACAGGTTGAGCCGAAGCTCTTATCAACGTGTTTACACGATTTTCACCTTGTTAAGAAACTATGAGTGGATCATTCGCCATTCTGACTTCGTTTGGGTGAGATCCATTGCTCAGAATGGTATTCTACGTGTAAGAGCAAAAGATCACGATCTGGTGAGTCGACATCACACAAGAAACACTAGAATACAAAAATGGAACTGCTTTATAGAGTGAGCTCCTATTGTTATAAGATAAACTAGTTGTAATTTAATGGTTTACAGGAGGCTATCTCCATCCTCATAAGCAATGTTTCCTTTCACAGTAATGTTGGCTCTCAAGCTTTGACACTACGATGGAGAGCTCACAAGAAACACCGGGTTCGATGTTGAGGACCTTCAAAGTATCAACTCTTTGTCTGAAGTACTAAGAAACTGCCGTTGTTCCCTGTAAGTGAGTTTTTGGGATCCTGTAATGGAAAATTGATTACTATGGTGGTGCACGAGATTAAGAGTTGGTTCCTTACTTTTATATAGAGTCTTAGTTTGGTTAGTTTATCTAGAAAGCGTGTGTAGGCTATTGATGGGGGTACCGGTTTGGCGAAATCGTCACAATAATGTTGAGTAACACGATGATAAAGAGCGTGGTACTCGTCCCTTTCCCAAGAAACATGGATAATGTAAAGCTTTTATGTCTTTAGAGCTAGCGGAACGAACAGTATGGAATCGAATATAACTCACCGTTGTCACAAGTAAGTCGTTTGATGGGGATTAGCTTTGAAACTCCTTTGTAGGAGACTTTTCAAAGGAGATCTAAATCAGATAATGTCTTAATTGGACTTTTATACGTCTAAAATCAGCTCCTTTTCTTTGAGTGAGCTGAGGATTATGGCGGACGATCACCAGAGAGGCACTCCTCCTACAGTGATAGAGTAAGCTTTGGTTTTAAACCACAAGATATGTCTTTAAAAGGACTGATTGCTATGTTTACCCTTCATCCAAGGTCAAAGAATATGAGCAAAATGAGCACTTAGACCAAAAATACCACAAAGCTATAGATATACTCGTGAAGAGTTTGTGTCTTGATTGACAGGCTTCTGACCACGAAGTGAAACAACTCTGAATATAGACTACGCGGTAAGAGGCATATGAATACGAGTACTGAGAGGTTGGACTTTGTTTCTAGAATAGCCTTGTTCCTGATTGTCATTTTGATCAAGTGGATCTTTGCAATTAGATGCCTGATTATATGGGTTACAAATGGTGTAGAGAGGTCCACTTCCTTCATTCTTTCAACGGCCTTGCTCCTGCTAAGTGCATGCCACGAAACAATACGAAAGTTCTCTAAGGTATCATCATTACACACGCTACCATATGAAGCTTTAGATCGTGCCTTCTGGGCTGGCAATGGCGATATCATTTGTGTCGATTCAAGTTTCGTTGTTTTGAAAGAAACCGACAATGAAAAGTCCTCTGACTTACAGGGAACACAGTATGCTAAACAGGAACTGCCTTCTAAACCGATTGAACCTCTACAAACCAACAAACTCGTCCTTACACAGAGTTACATGGATGTGCTCAAGCTATATAAGGGTGGACACAGTCGACACTTTGTGAAGAGGTCCACACCAAGGGTTACCCCAAACTCAACAACTGACGTTGTTGATAAAGTACAGCCATCCGATGGATCCATAGATATATTATCATGGTCTTGATAATGACCTCAGCTATTAATATTAAGAATTAGTTCGAAAAAAACACAGTATTGGATTAAAGCATATATGTATAAACAAAAAGAGAAGAGAATTATATTCGTTGTTGTGCTCATGAATGCAACAAGATCATAGCCAACTTTGAGAGCATTGTTCAAGAACAGTCGTATACATTGAACAGTTAAAGCATCAAACATGAAAAAGAAAACGAAGAAGATTGGAAAACATCAGATAACACACACAGAACATAACATACTTAATTCCCTTTTCTAGTTTTGTTAAGAAGAACGGGGAGGAAACAAAAAAACAGAAACAGAAGAATAAAAAAGATTCCCTTCTCCCTGGAATAATGTGCCTATGATGAACACACATTCCAATGCACCTATATGTCAAAAAGATAACTTTTTTTAGTAGTTAGGACAACTTATTGTTCAGATGTTTCGTCTGCAGTCTCAGTGTTAGGCTCAGGCTTTGGTTCTTCGGATGCCACATGAGAAGAATCATCGTCATCGTCATCTTCACCATTCAAAAGAGCGAATCTATTTGCTGCACCTGGTCTTTGAGAGTTCTGTCTTGAAGAGTCAGAGCGTTCTGTTGTAGTGTCGTTGCTTGTGTTTGTGCTAGTGGTGGAGGATGTTGCCTTTCTGGAAGATCTAGACTTGGTGAAGTTGTTCATTGGGCCCAAATTAGAAGATGACGATGAGGAGTTGATCTGACCAACTCTTCTAAAATCGGATTCAGAGACACGAGAGTTACCCCAACCAGAGTTTCTAGAAGAACCTTGTCTTGAGTCTGATTTATTCTGCTTCTTACGATCATTTTTCTGCTCTTCCTCTTTCTTTCTAGCCTCTTCATGAATTTGTGAAATAGTCTTAGGACCCTTGTTCTCCAAACCGGCCCAACTTTTCCTTCTCAGGTCACGGAGATCCATAAGGGCAAACTGTAATCTCGAAGGAATCTTTGAATCTTCCAAAGGTTTAATCTTCTCAAAGATTGCAGTGAGAACAGAACTTCCAGTTGGTGAACTGTCAAGGGTAGGACCAACGGTCTTGATCAATTGAATTAAATTCTCAACAGTATCATCTGTTGGATCCACAGTGTTTTCAGATAGTTTCACCAAACAAGAACGGATAACACCAGCAGATAAGAGTCTGAGCACGAATAAATGACCGATGAATCTAACCAAACCAAGACCTCTTCTCTTCGCAGCTGCAGCAATGTAGTACTCGTCAGTCATTAACTCTGGTTCTAATGGGGAGCCATCTTCATTAGTTGGTAGCTTATCAGTCCAACCCTTTTCATATTCGGTTTGACATTTAGAGAGTAACAGCTTTCTTGCGAGTAATTTACCTGTAAGTCTTGGGTCTTGGGCAGATTCATCTTTAACTTCGTCATCAATAGATGCCATCAACTTGGCACAAAGAGATGCATACATCTCGGACCAGTGTGGTTCATCTGTTGCCTTGTCAAATGTGATATTAAGGACCTGTTTCAGAGTCTCTGCATTTTCTTCCCATTTAGACTGGTTTGCGATTGCCAAAATTTCATCACTAATCTCATCAAAGAATTCCAAAGTCAACTTGTTCAACAAGGATTTAACCTTTCTGTTAACGTCCTCCTCTGAGAGGAGCACAGTGACACCATCAGGGGCGTATTTGACCTCAGTAGCCTTATTAGCTCTGGATTTTGGAATCCATCTATTCTCTGATTTTTCTAATGGTTTCACAGGTTCAGCTGGAACATCTGACTCTCTTGGTTCTCTCTCTCTATTTCTGTTAGATTTACGATCACCTCTGTTCGAAGCACCTCTTCTCTTGGAGTTTTGTCTAGAGTTTGATCTTGAGTTCATGTCGTAGTTTCTTCTAGATGAAGACTTTGGGAACCCTTGAGAGCCTGAGAGACCAGAACCCATACCAAACTTGAATCCACCACGATTCTTTGCAGAGCCACCTCTGTTATTTAATGTGTCCTTGGTGATGAATTCAATCTTTTGAGCAAAGTCCTTGTCAACGGTGAACTTGGTCACTGGGGCAAACTGTAACAAGAATTCAGGGTCGTATCTGAACTTTACGCCTTCAATCTTAGCTTCAGGCTTTGGTGGTGTGACTTTATCAGAGTACTTGAAAGTGTATGGATCCTCGATTTCAGTCGCATTTGAGACTCTCTCCAAGAATGCAGAGACGGTATTAGAGTCTTGTTCAGAAGAGTCTTCTTGTGGAGCTGACACATCTTCAGATTCTTCAGCTATGGTTTCTTGGGTCAAAGATCTTTCAGATTGGTGGACAGTCTCATCTGCAGGTTCTTGAGAGGATTCAACTTCTTTGACATCTTCCTTTGGTTCTTCATTTGGTTCTTCCTTTGGTTCTTCCTTTGGTTCCTCCTTTGATTCCTCCTTTGGTTCCTCCTTTGGTTCCTCCTTTGATTCCTCATTGGATTCCTCCTTTGGTTCCTCCTTTGGTTCCTCCTTTGGTTCCTCCTTTGG